GTTTACATTTATTTGCTTACCCAAATAATACTATATCAATGGTTTTAGGACTATTCAAATTGGCACCCCTTCTGCCATGCCTACCCACCCAGCCTGAAGGTGATCCTGGCACCACATTGCCATCCAATACTAATTATGTACCTAATGTGAAAACCCAGAGAGCCTTAAACAATATTTGCTTTATTTATTGCTGCTCCTAAAGGAGCATTGCTGTGTCTGAGAAATTGAACTGCCAGTTTCTATTTAAAAAGCTCTAAAACACCTTTTGCTCCTACAGTGCGAGTTTGCAAGTTTGTAGTTTGTTTGATATCTTTTTGTCCTTTTAACACGATCAATCACGTTCACCCCATGTTGGTGGGAAGGAGGGGGGGTCATCTTCTCTGTATGATATCCAGCCTAGCAGAAATAGGGACTAATGTAGCTCAAGCTTTAACTACATTTGTCCCAAGGAATAACACAACACTTGTTTAAGGCCGACTGAAATAATTCCTCTGCTTTGCATTTTCTCACTATAACCCCCCTACAGTCACAAATGCACAGAGCACATGAATTCATTTTGTCAGATTTAGGGAGCTTCATTAACTAATTGCTAATACCACCTTAATTAACATACATCTATGCATCAGTATCAGAAAAGATCCTGGCCCGTGTACACTGGTATACCGGTATAACCACTATTATTGTAATTAGCATTCCTAATCAAGATGACAAAAATTATCCTTCCCATTAAACAAAAAAAGAGTCTTGCTTTTTTCCAATAGAGCACAAAACATGCCAAGTTCCACGGAATGAATGAAAACAATCTGCAGAACTAAAACACGACTCTCCCCTTGCAGTGGCTTCACAAAGCAATTAAGAATGCTTAAGTAAATTAAAAAAGAAATGAACGGAAAACATAGTAGTAGCAGTAGTATTAGGAAGTTAAAAATAACTTGTGAATGGCCCACTGTACTCAATCACCACACTTGAGAAAACCTCCAGCAAGTCTCTGAGGAGCAAATGTTCCACACTTTAGGAAGAGTGATGGAGACAGGAGACTCATGCAGGAATACATCTCCGGACAGATACAGCTGGGCCCCAAGTGTTCATGCTGAAGGGCATGACCGTACACACTGAGCACATGTACCAGCATCTTCAGAATGCTCCACCGTGAACCCCAGCCTCCAACACAGTGGACAAATACACCCTTCCTGTTCAGTACACTGAGCGCATTCAGGCAGAAAGTTATCGGGGTACAATAACTCCCAAAACACCCTTAATTCTCAAAGAATTATCATGATAAAACATTCAGCTAGGCTCAGGGTCATAAAATAGTGCACTCTGGGTTGTAACAAAAAAAGATGTTCACAAATGTATTCAGTCTAATAATTATATTTTTTTGTTAAAACTATACTTTACTTACTTTCCATTAATGCCACCTCTAAGTTCATCGATTTACTTTCATTCACCCCAGCAAGTGGTACAAAAGACGTTTCAGTTAATTATCTAAAAGAAGATACAGGGTGCAAATACTAACACCAAGGACTGCAGTTACATATTGAAAACAGAAATGACCCGTCAGAAACAGGGATGGAATGAAACCAGAAATCTGAATGACTTCTCACTAAACATTCATTTTAATTAAACAAATCTCTCTTTACTTGTTTTTGAGATAAAATCATCAAAAACTGTAAAAAAAACTAACCACCTGTTTTGTGAAAACTCATATAGTCCATTTTAATCTGTGCATTGTCCACTGAAATAAATAAGAGCATTTTAAAACCGTCAACCGTGGAGTAACGCTCGCTGCACTATGGTGACAAGTTGCTATTTCTGTTTTCTCTTAAAAACTTATTATTAAAACAGCATCGCTTGTTCGTAACAGATCAGAATACCAGCGCTGTAACCAAACAAATCTGCATGGTTTTTTTTTTGTAACGACCTTGTCAGGCACTGACTACAAACAAAACATACACATGATTATAAAAAGAAACTATCTTTGACTTATTTGAAAAATTGTTTTACGTTGTACCTAATGTTCTAATGTCACATGCGGGGTTTTTTTAAAAAGAGAGGGAGAGATGGCTCTCCTTGAATGATCTGTTTAACCAAAGCCAGAGGAGGGAAAAAAGAAGTCATTAATTACTTATGTGAGCTATTGCTTCAGAAAGACAATAAACCTTCCTGGTCGCCATGGATATGACATATTTGCTCTGAAAACAACACAATAATTAGCAAAGGCGAAAGATCCGAAGAGAATATGCAAACTCCAGAGCTTAAAGCTACAGTGCTACTTTCTGGGCCCTTTTTCTATTAGGAATAATAGCAAATTGCATGCGGCACAGATAAGGTAACTAAGATAAGCTTTGTAATGGCAATGATCTTTGTGTCCTCTGACTCAATAACACAACAGCCCTGGAAAAAAAACAGCGCATTTATATTATCGCCTTTAGAAAAACAGTAATAATGCACACATATATTTTAACGTTCTGAGAAACTTTTGTTGCTCTGGTTTATTTCCTATATTTTTGTTTTTCTTTAGCAGTGTCGTAATTGCGAATTTGCAAGGGACCCGTTTTTTCCAGTGACAACGTTCAGGCTCGGAATTTCATTTGCGTTTGGCCCCGTTAAAAAATATAAAAACTGATTAGGCAAACCGTTCTCACCTTTACCACCGTTCTCACATTATAGGCGAACTGGAAAGGTTAAATTAAAACGACAGCGAGCCTGCATCTCACTGTGTGCATGTATGTGCACTGTGTCAAGACTGTACTTCGCATACTGAATTTTATCCCACAATATACAGGCTAGGGTGTGTGAAATTACTATCAACAGGCATTGATTACCATTATCGAGCACTGTTTCAACATCCACACATTAAAAAAAATACCAATTTCAAAGTGGACTGTAAAGAAGACATCATGCGCGTCTTACGACATTTCTAATTTTACATACATTAAAAAATAAAACTAAAGAAGCAAATATTCCAGTTTAACTGTAAAGAAGGGATGGATCTAACTCCTTTATGATATAAGTAGGGTATACAGTTAGGTACCTTGGACAGCTTAATTAACAAAAAGGTGAATAATGCACTTTTGGAGATATAACGGTGAAATTGAGACTTAAGTGTTACAGAATGTGCTGCCTGAAAACAAGAGCAAGGTTTTAAAAAGTCGCAGTGTGTATAGGTATTCGTGGTTGGGAGTTAAAGGCAAGCTAAGGTTATGAACGGGATATGAGCAAATTATCTACATGTCAGGGTGTAAGTGTCTCTCTCGAAATCGCTCAGATCTCGGTTAACACGCTCCGACGTTTACAAAAATAAAGAAGTGATCTTGACAGAAAAGGTCATTGTCCCTTTAAACGTTTTAGGGCATATGGAGTTTGAATTTCTCAAAAGAGATCAGTTTAACGTCTCCATAGAAACCAGCAACAGATTATCATCAACAGAATAAATAACTCTAATAAATTAAACAAAAGGAAAACGATCTCAGGAAATTTGATTACTAACTTCCAACAATAAACAACCGCCGAGCGCCTGGCGTTAACACGGAGATAACTTTTCGGATATACGCTTCGAAAACTGAAAGTAAAGCTGGTTCAATTGCAATTTAAGTTCTTACCACTTAAATGAACTGGGAGATATTTACCGGAGTACCGGAGGGTCTCTATATATCCGTTGCGTTACAATATTTTAAAAACGTCAACGGTCAACGCGAGCTGCCTGTATTAATATCCCACAGAAGCGATACCGAGTCTTGTCAGGGGATAAACAGCACGATTTCAGGGAATTCGAATTTGCACTTGCTGAGAGGAAGGGCTGAGGAATCAGGGAAAACGCCAGTGAGTGTTAAATTGAAGATTAAAATCGCCACCACTCCTGGGGACAGGATAACTTGGCATTTCTCGGAGCTAAAACTCTTCTCAGTTGAAAGCGAACGTTGAGAACACCTTTCGTTGAAGGTGGAAACAGATCAATTTCTGTACTCACAAATAAATGATTAACTTGAGCAAAATTCTCTTCCGCGTTTACTTTTACGGCGTGCACAACTTGGCGCAGTAAACATCTGAATTCGCCCGTGCTGCCCCAACAATTCTCCCGCAGAAGTAGCTCACAGAAAACAGCCCACCCACCGACCGCCAGTTAAGATTCCTCACCACGACACCTGTTATGTCCCCCAGCAAAAAAAAAAAGTCTCCAAAAAAAAAAAGGATGTAAAAAAAACCCCAACACTTCGATTAAAACCAGCCGATGCAAATTACCCATCGCGCAGGCGGGGGGGAGAAATAAAACAACTTTGCCGAAACGGGCTGTTGTCATTCCCAAGGACCGCAAAGCGAAAACATACCATTATTCGCTGAGACACAGATACAAATAAATAAAATAGTTACAACAACAGCAGTTAACTTTCAATTTTTGCACGGCATTCCGCCGCTCGGCGTGAAATCAGTCCCCTTCCGCGCTGGGGTCTCTCTTAATTTTCTGTTTGGCACCAATGAATTATCATCCGGCGGCGACTATACAAAGCCAAAAGTTGCAATAAAGTCACACCTAGTTTTTTTTTTCCTTTCAGCAAGTCTTCTCCCCCTCCCTTACACACACACGCACACCGTTCAATGTAACAGGCTTGTCTTTTCGGAGGGTCCTGCGACGTCCCCGGGTTTTTCCTCCCAGCAAGTTTGGAGCGCACGACCTGCAGCCGCGGACTCGTGCTCGGAGCCAATGGGCTGTTCGTCTCGAGCCGCTCTGGCGCTCCGGCTGCGCCAGGAGAGGACCCGGGCGCCGCTCGCGGCGAGGGGGTCCACACGCCCCGAACCGGCCCTTGAGACCCACTGACCCGCACTGTCACACCGACACGCACCCCCAAATGGCGCAGGCGAGCTCAGTTGCACCAAAAGTCGGCGGAGAGAGGGAGAAAAAAAAAAAAAGAGGGGCAGTTTAACGCTGCTCCGCGTTTGAGGTATGAAGTGATATTATTTGTAAAAGGACTGTACAGTAGGTGAGAGGAAAAAAGTCTTACCTGTACTTCAGCGGCTTTCGGTGACTTTCCAACTAAAGGAAAATGTGTGTTTAGGATGGACGTTAAGGGAGCATGCGTGATCAAAGTTGCCTCATTTTTTTTCCCTTTCTTTCTTGTTTTATTATTGCATTTTCCTATTTCTAACACGGGGCGAGCAGCCGGAAAGACCCGCCATGGATACCGCTCCAAACTGGGAAGAGGAATCCTTAATTGAATTTTTCAGTTAGCAGCAGCGGCGACCTGGAAAAGCCGGAGCGGAGTCCGGAGGCGGGGGCGGCAGGAATCGCAAACGTGACAAGTTTCCCTTTAAATGCTGGGGGAAGCGATTCTCGGCGCTGCAGATTTATGTAGTGTGTGTAAGGAACAGAGGTCAGGCTTTCCCTTTCTGTTTAATCGGGAAAACATTCCGACCTGAACCGATAATTACTCGGAACAGAACTCCACCTTATTTACAAGTCTGACGATGTTTGCAAGAAATCCAATTTAGAACGACCACGTTAAAAACTACTGTTTTGGAACTACAGTAATGGTATTTTAATGGCGTTCTATTATTTCAGACCAGACAGCTCTGTACCCATTTCAAAGATGCATGACATTAACTATTTTAAATTCTTATTATTCTAGGATAACTTTGTTTCTTGAACACGAACTTGTTCTTCATTAAAAAAAATCTAGTTTAATAATAATAATAATAATAATAATAATAATAATTGCTTTCACTTATATAGCGCTTTTCTGGACACTCCACTCAAAGCGCTTTACAAGTAATGGGGGCTCCCCTCCACCACCACCAATGTGCAGCATCCACCTTGTTTACAATATAAATGTTAAACCTTTTTATGACCACTAGAAAAAGAGTCCATTTCCACCTGGAATAATGTCCCCTCAAACATTTTGTAACAGCTCTGGAAGTTCATACAGTGGAAGCCCGGTTTATAGCTTCAATTCAAATAAACAAAAATACAGAATATTTTACTGTTATAAGGAAAGTTTGAATAAAATAAAACATTTTAAATGTTTCCTCCACGATACACTATCTGCAGCGTTACATATATTGTGATAAGTGCATTTTTAAAAAATCCTTCTACTTCATTGGATAGTTGTTAATTTCATCAGAGCAAAAGGGAAGATGACCGTGTTCAGTCCCTTTTCCACACAATGTACAAGTTCTGTTGAGTTGAGCAAAACTGCGAAAGAAATTATGGCAGCCTGGATAATTGTTGAAATCGAATATTTTCACTTCCCCATACAAAAAACGGAAACATGCAGTGGAGGTAATTTTTCAGAAAGTATTTTCACGTTTCTAAACACACCCTTTACAATGTTTCAGTCCCCAGATACTGTACACATCAGGAGTGTCAGATGTGCTTTGTTAAAAAAATGGCAGAGACAGAGAAGTGAGATGCTGTCTTGCAGGTCTTCATTGGGTCTGACCTTGTTTTATCTGCGACAATACCGATAATAATAAAAGATTTAGCAGGAGTTACATGTTGAGGTCAGCTATTTGTGACAATTAACAAACAATCAAGTCTACAGCTCCAAATTCTGCAGAGCCAAGCATTTCAGTCATCTTGGAAAAGAAAAAAAACTCTTTTGGAACATTTTAGCATTATGATGATGCTTTAAAGATTTGATAAGGATCTGCTGGGACATGCTACTTTGTGTCCCTACAGATCTGGCTGCCTGGAGCAGTGGAAAGCAGTTCCTTGCAGACCGGAGCTGAAGGAACATCACCAGCACGCAACAGAAACAGGAAGTCACAGGCAGTGCAAGTATGACCAAGGATAAGGATCTGTTAGCCGGTGTGGCTTGAAAGAATCATGTTGAATATTCTAGTCCACACGTCTGTTCTCTTTAAGCATGTGTGGTACATAGTCAGAATGAAAGGAGGAACATTAACAGTCTTTGCTGTTTTTTTTCTTTATCAAACAATGACATGAATTTTAACTTTAAAAGATCTGGAAGGTTACAATTGTGGGGCATGCGGTACCTTACACTGGTGAAGAACCTTTCCATTTCCCTGCTGTAGGTTAAGGCTGATTTTTATATAGAATATAACAAACTGCATATGCTTTATTAATTATCCAGCATGGCATATGAAGGAGCCCAATGAAATTAATGACCATGTCTTTTTTAACTTGATGTATAATTTTGCCACACACAGTAATCCATGTATGTTACACTTGCAGTGGAATTTCAGGAGCCTAGCCCACAGAAATAAAAAAAGATGTGATAATGTACTTTAAGCCTGAAATTTTCCTTATCTGAATTCTGCAGTCCTCTAACTATTGACAAACAGATTATTGCCAATTAGCAGTTTTTGTAATGCGCTGTGTTCTACATAATACAGAATCTCAAATGAGATCAATGGCATAGCTAACTATCCAAGCAGGTAGTACTATAATCCCTGGGTTAGAGATATTTGAGTTTACAATAAATTGAGATTTTTTTGCTCAAAAAGCCACTGAAATGTATTGTGTTGCATGAGGCACCTTTGCAGAATGGAAAATCCAAACAAAGTTTTATGCAACGTGGGACTATGCTATAAATAAATGTACTACTAATAATAATTTAAAACATCAATAGATATTATTTGCTTGTAGAGCTCTATTTATTGTAGTGCTTCACTTCTTTGGCAACCACCAATCCAGAAAGTTCATGAAAAGATACATCAGCCTTTAAAAGTAAAATTAATTTGACATCAGAAATGTCTTTCTTCAAGGTGCTCAGAATCTGAGCTTTATAAAACGTAGCTTTTAACTTCTTTTAATAAAGGGGTAGCCTTTAACATCGCAAGCTATTAATACTGAATAAAATCCAATTTGAAATGTTCCCATTTATAAATATTAAAACACATGTTCATAGTTCAAATCCCTATCCTATTATTTTCAGTGTGATATTGTTATAATGTTACATATTTAATGCTGATGAATACCTGCATTGTTCTTAAGCACAGCATGTGCATTGCAGTTGTGAACAGCATCAAGAGCCCAGACAGACTACAAAAGTTTCTTGTCATCCTGAAGCATTGTGCATGTTCCCATAAAATAACGAGTTATCCAGCAACTCATTATGCAATTAAAAATATTTAAGAAAAAAACTGTAGTACTGTTCAATCATTAGTTTATTAGCTTAAATTGCATACTTAAAGAAGATGATTTTCTATAGACATCCACACCTGCATCTAGGATCAGCGTTTCCACTTCTCTGGTGTGGATTTGGAAAACCTGTTCTAATATTTAATTTCACAAACTCTGCACAGGGTTTTAATAATTGTGTGCTTACAAACATCCCTTTACATTACAGCTTATTGATTTGTTTATTTTAACTCGGAGAGGTTAGAAAAATAATCGCAAAGGGCAACCGCTATTGGCAAACAAAGGTTTCTCAATTTATTGTATCATCTTCTTAAATGTCTTGGGCAAAATCTTGCACAAAAAAAACAGTTTCATCAGGCTCAACGCATGTTAAAATTGATTCTTAACTGAGACCACGCAATTGAAAGATTCCCAACCTCTTCCTTAGAAGACAGTGGGAATTTCTGACAAATAATCCCCGATGTGACGGTTTCCCATTTTTCAAAGCTTTACATCGCAACATCAGGCTAATCGATCTGTTCAATGCACGCAACGCAGATACGCTTGGTCCTAATACCAGACAGCTGCTCTAGAGTTTAGTCCGCATGCCCATTCTTTAATTTGTTTCTCCTTAAATGTGTACACAGGGTGTACAGCTGCAATGGAGGGTTATAAAAAAGGGGAAAATATCAATGAATTATTCCACGGATCTCTTCATTGAGCAATGATCCAGTACATTTATTGTTATCTGGTGACTAATCAGACCTCTCTCCATGGACAGATCCAACAAACCTGAGACTTTCTGGCTCCCCTGTCAGTGCTACGGCTAATTATATAGCATTAAAAGCTAATCACAAGGCAGGAGAAGGATCCAAGTGAGCAAGCAGAGGTTAATTCCACAGTGAAAAGTAGGAAACGTGCTGGCTATGGAGCCTTCTACAGGTGCGGAGGAGAGATTGAGGGATAACAAGCAAAAAGTGGGGGAAAGCCTGTGATTGGGTAGGGGGGTGTGAGAAGAGGCCTGAATTCCAGGTGAAACGTGAAAAGCATCAAATCTGTCAACGTAAGGAGAGAATAAAAAGATATTAGTTGATTGTTGAGTCTGGTTTAAGTTTTAGCTTCCTTATATGGGGGTCTCCCCATCCCTGTGAAAGGACACATAAAGAAAGCTCAGTGCAATCATAGTAGGAAGGGGAAAAATGTGGAACTACCTTCTTGAAGAGATCTTTGGTTCTCACTTTTCTGCCACCCTCCCTGAAATGGACTGGATCGGATGACCAGGATTCTGCTTGTCTTGCCAGTACAACGCCAATGCAAGAAATGCAAAAAACGAGAGTGCTGGACAAACATGACACCCTCTGGGTGATGGTGAAATGGCCGCATACTATATACAGTACTTGTGCTGCTGGATATGTGTTAGCAGGCGATACACATTCAGTTGCATCGGAAAAATGTCTGGCACGTAAATGTCACGCTGAAAGTCAGAACACTTCAGATAATCTTGAACGGTGATTTCACTTAGCTTTTTAAGCAATACCACAGATCTGAAGTTCCATGGTACAAAAGCACCCAGCTTTAGTTTTTTGCAACAAAATAACTCTTGCACAGCAAGATTTCATTGTCCCACAAGAAAGAAAATATTAATATTTAAAAATGTCATGAAAAACCTTTAACTTTGTTGGATTTAATTAAATTTGAGTTTTGGTGATGCAAACAGCAGTTGATTCCCCCACTTTGCCCACAATATGCATTTCGAACAAAACAAGGGCTTTCATTTTGTGGCAAACAGAGGCCGCTTTTAGACATCTGGCTTCGCTCCATCCAGATGAGTAAAAGTATTATGTCTGAAGTTAAAACACCCACACATATATATAGTGTCTGGATTGGCATTAACACTGAAAGGTGTCAATTTCTTCAGCCTTGGGTATGAGTATGAGTACGGTGAATTCAAGAAGAGACAAACAAACACTTCTTTACACAAAGGGTTGTGGGAGTCTGGAACAAGCTACCCAGGCATATTGTCGAAGCCGATACCCACGCCTTTTTCAAGAAACAGACGGATGTGATCCGTGGATCAATGAGCTCCTAACTACAAAACAGGCTACAAATGAGAAATGTGGCCCTTCTCCTATTCCTATGGAACAATGGCTATGTAGAGGCACTGTGACATCAAATGGTTTACAAAACTGGACTTATAATTTTGAAGAGCTAACCTGGTATTTTGATTAGCGACTTTTCTACTTTTCTTCCTCACCCCTCCCCAGTTATTCAACAAACTGTTTAAGGTCCTGCACATGACCAACCTAGAGCCGAGATAAAGAGAAGAGCTGGTTTGAAAAGGGCTCCAAAAGAGGTATTATTTGCCATCTGTAATGGCTATAAAAAGAAACACTTCACAAGTATTAAGTGTGAATGCCATTTCTTCTACAGAATCAAGGAAAAAGTTTGGATAACCTTGGTGCAGTCTGACCTTCATGAAGGTTTCAAAACACCAACAGCAAAAAATAACAGAACAG